TTTGTTGCCCAGGCTGGAGTGCAATGGCGTGATCTTAGCTCACCAAAACCTCTGCCTCCCGGGTTCAAGCGATTCTCCTGCCTCAGCCTCCCGAGTAGCTGGGACTACAGGCACGCACTACCACATCTGGCTACCTCTCTCATTGTTTGTAGAGATAGGATCTTTCTAGATTGCTCAGGCTGGTCTTGAACTCCTGGGCTCAAGTGATTGCCTGCGCTGGTCTCCTGAAGTGTTGGGATTACAGGCGTGAGCCACGGTGCCCGGCCTGTCTTTCCTAATCTTCCATCCTAAATGTATTAATATGATAATTTGATCATCACATTTTCAGGGGCTGTTGAGTAACTGCTCTGAACACAGCATTAAATGGGAACGAGCAAGCTACAGTGCTGAATATGCGGTATCTTCCTACTTTTTTTTTGAGATGGAGTCTCGCTCTGTTGCCCAAGCTGGAATGCAGTGGCTTGATTTCAGCTCACTGCAACCTCTGCCTCCCAGGTTCAAGCCATCCCCCTGCCTCAGCCTCTGCAGTAGCTGGGATTATGGGTACGCACCACTACCCCTGGCGAATTTTTGTATTTTTAATAGAGTCGGGGTTTCACTATGTTGGCCAGGCTGGTCTTGAACTCGTGATCCACCTGCCTCGGCCTCCCAAAGTGCTGGGATTATGGGCGTGAGTCACCATGCCCGGTCCCACTTTTGTTTTTTTTAAGTCATAAATGGGGGGAAGGGGAAATATTAGAAGACCACCCCCCCCCAACCAAAGCTGGAACCCCTGTGTTTCAGGTTGAGAGCTAATTTCTAGAAACTTCTGGATGCATCTTAGTTTGGTCATTTTTTAAGAAACTGTGTCCTGCTTTTCGACGTGTAACCGTGACGAGAGTCTGGCTTTGTTTCCAACAAGAAGGGGGTGGGGCGGATTCAGCCACTGACCTTCTCCAGCTGGTGTCTGCGGGTGGCGAGAGGTACACGGTGCCATAGGGGCAGCTGTCAGCGTGAACGTGAGTTAAGGGGGCAATGCCACTGGCTGAGACCCCGCCTCCACCAACACCCTCAGCCCAGGGCAGGAAGCCCCCTGGCTGGTTCGGCCCAGGGCCTGCAAACAGCTGGGACCAGTATGGTGGGGGGTGGGGAAGGGCGTTTCCTGCCGGCCTTTCCTGCCTGACTGCAAGCAGCCCCCATTTCAGGGGCTCCCCAGGGGTATGGCCCTGTCCACCTAGCACTCAGCACTCTGCTCCGTGAGCGCACGTGCAGGCTGCACCCCTTCCAAGGGAAGGGGTTCTGGGCCGTGATAGTAGGGCCCATGGGGGCGCTGGGGAGTCTGGGTTCAGCTGAACCTTGTCTGGACTCTCCATCCTGGGCTGACGGGGCGGCTCCCGGGGCCCGAGGGCTCAGTCTGGGGCCCAGCTGGTCGAGCTTCCCTAGCCCACGGAAATGAGAACCGGAGAACAAGCTTCTCTGTTCTGGAGAGCCTGGGGATCCTGGGAGCAACCTGAGGCCGCTCAGACTCTGGTGTTGGGGGACCTGGCTGGCTGAGCACCAAGGGGCGGCTGAGTTGGGGGTGGAGGGGGGACTCTGGCCAATCTCTGCCTGACTGAGTCACAGAGGTGAATGTTATTCCTGTCATAGAGACGGAGCCTCCCTCAGACGTGTCCGGGTCTCACACAGAACCCCCAGCCCCACTGCCTCGGCTGGGCTGCCCTCCGTGCGGCACACAGGAGAGGGCCCTCAGCTCACAGCCCTGACGGTGGGCTCCCTGCTCATGGCCTTCCTGGCCCCACTGCCCTGCCAGGTGACTAAGCTCTCTGTGGTCAGGTGTCACCTTCCTTAACTCCTGCCTTGGCAGCTGTTCCCTGTGCTCCCTGAGCCCCTAAGTCTGGCCAAAGGCTCTAGGGCTCGTGGCATGTCCCCTTCCAGGAAGTCCTCCCGGGCTGCCGTGAGATCAAGCCTCCCAGTCGGTGCTGTCCTGATTCTGTCCCCAGAGCTGGAAGCAGGGAGCCCTGTCAGAATGTGCTGGGTAAACCTGGGGTCCTGCCAGCACCAGCAGGGCCTGGCCTCCCACCTTCATCTTCTGGGGGAAAGGATATCTGCCGTCCATGTTTGTCCACGGACAGGGGCCGACGGTGCGGGGAGCCGAGCCGGCCGCGCTCCCGGTACACCCTGTCCACCAGCCCATGGTGCCGGGTGGTCCGGCTGGTGTCCAGGCCCGAGGATTGAAAGGGGGTCTGGGGGAGGAGGAGATGGAAACAGAGAGAGAAAAACCCAAACAATGGTTACCAGCTGTGGCCCTAGTGTTGCCCCCCGAGTCTGATCACAGGGCCCCCCACTCTGGAACACCCTCAGCCATTGCTCCGCAGCCTGGGATGGGCTTCTTTCTTCAGCCCCAGCTCCCCAGCTCTCCAAGCACTGGGGGGCAGGGAGGGGGTGTGAGCCAGGGTCCCAGGAGCCAGGGCGGCAGGGGCGTGCAGTGTGGCTGGCATGCACAGGCCAGGCAGAGCGGCACAAGCTCACGGCCAGCGCCCGCCAGGTGCCAGGGGTGCAGCCGGCCTGGGCAGCCCTCCTCCCCAGCCTTACCAGGTGTAAACAGGCCTCCGCCCTCTCTCTCTGGGCCTGGCCAGCCTCCTACCCCCACCTACGTCATCCCTGGAGGGGCTGCCAAGAGACAGCCCAGGGGTTTCCAGCCCAGGACTGTTTCGGAGCCCACCTGGCCAAGTTCGAGTTCCCAGGAGACTTCCTTGTGGAGCCCAGGGCTGCTCTTGATTGAGACACAGCCCCCATGCGCTCTCCCCTACGGCCTCCTCCAGGCACCACCAGAGCCAAGTGCAGGCACTTTCTGGAGCCATGGCCTACTGCTTGGCTGGACAGGGCTCCTCCCAGCACCTGAGGCTGGCACCGGGCCGCCCCCTCCCCAGGCCCTGCTCCATGCCCGGCCTCATGCCCCCGGGGCTGCCAGGAGCCCGCCCTGACCCTATGTTGCCCACTCGCCATCTGACTGGGGTGAGATCAGCAGCCTTTGCCAGCTCTGGACGCAGCCAGTCCCCAGCCTGGCCATCTGGCCCCTGAGCCCTTGTACCTTCTCTAGGCAGCCGGGCAAAATGCGACTCTGATACTAAAGTGAGTCTCCCCTCCAGAAGCCTGTCCATGGCTGGGATTGTTGCTCTGTCCCAGCCTCGGCCAGAGTTCAGGGCTGACTGCTATCCCCAGCCCTGGGACCCCCAAGTCTGTCTTCGATCCAGCATGAAGTTGCTGGTCTGGGTCTTTCTGTGGCTCTTGCTCCCAAAAGGCTGTGGGCATGGGAGACAGGGGCCTGTGGCAATGAGGGTGGGAAATGCACCATCCAACGCATGGGCTCCCGAGGGCAGGGGCCATTCATCTCCTTCCAGAGATGCCTTGAAGCCCAGAGGGGAAACTGAGGCAGCCGAAGCAGCGTCAGAGGCAGAATGAAGCAGGGGCTGGCCACGCCCTGGCTCGCCAGGTCCTGCCTACTGGCCTGGCTTGGGAGACACGTGCACACGTGTGTGCTTGTGTGTGTAGGGACGGACCATGCAGCTGTGGGGCACATGCTTGGATTCTGCTCTGCTGGACCCCAGATGGGGCTGCGCGGCTGTGGCATCTGCCCCAGATGGACCCCAAGAGTCCCCGGGGCCTCTCGACGCGACCATACGCACTTCCCGAGATGGGGGTGCGGAGTGGATCCGTTTCCATTTGGCGGACGGGACACCTCCACCTCCCTGGGAGCCGCAGGGGCGGCCGCTCGGGGAGCTCAGAGATCCCCAGCGCCCGCACGCGGGTCGGGGTCTTGCAGGCTGGCGCCGGGGACGCCTCGGCCTCAGCCTGGGGGCTCATTTACCAGAGAGACAGGAGCCGCTGCCAGGGCCTCCCCCAGAAATCCGCTGGGCTGAAAATGCAAAGAACCGAGACTTTGAGATGTTGCTGCCTTGCCTGGCCCCGAAGATGGGATGTGTGGGACCCCCCGGGGCTGTGGACCTCGGGCGACAGGAGCCCAGCAGGGTGCTGTGCCCCTCGGCCCCCACTCAGACTGAGCTTGGGAGATGCCCAGAGAGAGGCTCTCCTCCAGGGAGGAGGGGACGGGGGCAACAGGAAGGGGAGAGAAGGGCAGGAGGGGAGAAAGCCTGGCCTGGAAGCACGCCCAGCATCAGTGATGGCCTGCTTTCAGTGTATGACAGGCAGCTGCCCCTTGGGGCCAGCCCAGGGACCCCTGCCCTGTCCAGCGGCGGTGCAGGTGGGGGTGGAGCTGGTGGGAGACGCAGGAGGGGCCCCGGCTCCATCTAGCCTGGCAGTGGCCATGGCTGTGTCCGCGGTAGTTTTCTCAGCCATAGAGTACGTGTGACCCCCAGGGGGACCTGTCCATGTGGAGCCCAGACACCGTCTTGGGGGTGGCCCTGACTCACAGGCCAGCTCCCTTGACCCTACCCCATCCCCATTTCCACCCGTAGACCAGGGTCAGGGGGAGGACTGCTGTGGGCCGTATCTCCTGTTTATGATAAGGCTGAGCACGTCGGCCGAGCAGCCTGCGGGAGCCACGCTGTGTGGGCCTCTGCCAAGAAACGTTTGCAGACAAGTGGGGTCAGGCCGCTGGGCCTCCTTCTGAGAATTGCTGGGCTTGCGGATTAGTGAGGCAGGACAGAGCCAAGTCCCAGCGGCCCCAAGCGGTTCCCGCTGCTGCGCAGCCGGCCAACAGGTGTAGTGGCTGCCGAAACGTTGGAGGCCAGATGGAGGGCTAGTGTCGGGGTCTGCTGGTGGGGAATGGGCTGCGGGGGGATTCTGGTGCCCCCTGATGGGGCCACTCTGCTTCCTCCGGTTCCCAGGACAGAAAAGAAGGTAGGGGTGGGATGGGCTCTGGTAACTGTCTGGTGACCCCAGCTGTCTGCAATGTCTGGCCCCCGGTGGGAGGCTGGGGAGAAACTCCTCCCGAGGGGGGCAGGGCGGGGAGTGGGGCACTCACCTGGAAGGGCAGGTCCATGGTGCCACTCCCAATCTGGTTCACATTGGGCAAGGACCCGCCGTAGTACTGGCCGCGGCTCGGGCCCAGTTGCAGGTACTGGGATTTCTGGAGCTGGAGCTGCAAGAGAGAAGCCGGCAGCGCGGGAGGGTCACTCCCACTTCCATCCCAGAGTGCCAGCCCCAGAGACATAAAAAGACCCAAGATCGACAGCATCAGGGCAGAAGTTCTGAGGACCAGGGGATGCCATTTCTTATCACGGCCAGAAGCTGTGACTCGACGGGCCAGGCGGCTTGCCACTGGCCTGAATCGGAGCGGGCTGTCTCAGCAGCACGGTAACGGCCTTCCAAGGGAGGGACTGGTGATCCCAACCAGCCCACACAGGGCCAGGGCAGCCACGCCAGTCCCCCACACCCAGCTTGAGTTCTAGGGGGGTCCTTAGCCCCATGATCCTTCCACGTGGTCCTCCCCAGCCTCTCGGAGGCTGGGCCCAGCTGGGCACCTTCATCCCTGCTTCCCACTCCCTGATGGCATCGGGGCTCAGAACCAGGGATCAGGAGCTCCCTGACCGGCCAGGCTGACTCTGAGCAGGGCTGGGACCTGGCCTCCTCCCACTCATGTGACTAATGCTGATTTGCTGGGAACGGAGGCCTCTGACCCCGGTGGCACGACCCGAGGCCCTTAGGGATACTGGTCCGTGAGGCCTGCCATGAGACCGGGGGAGGCAGCCACGGTGAGGAGAGGTGGGGGCTGGGCAGGCAGGAGGGAGGGGCGGTTGTCCGTTCTGGCCCGGCAGGGGCTGTTGCTAGGGTGGATACTGTGTACACAACAAGGCCGGCTCGTTCCTTACAAACAGCTCCTGGCAGCACATAGAGAGCTGGCCGAGCTGGCCGCCCCACCGCCCCAGCTTCCTGGGAGGCCGTGGATACCAGAGGCGGAAGTGAAGCCCGGGAACTGGCCACCTGCCCGGTGGAGTACCTCGCCCAGGTAAACAGCTGTTTCCTGTGAGCTGCAGTGGAGCTGATGGTAAGATTAACCGTGTTCGTTCTCGGGTGGCTCTCAAGGGCCTGGGGTTCTGACCCAGGGTCTGTGCTGGGAGCCCTTGGTGGCCACTGGCCGGACACACCTACCATGAACACCCACAGTGTCCCTCGCAGCAGTCACACCAGATGAAATAGCCCAGCTCCAGGCTGTGGCAAGGGGAGGAGGTGCAGGGTGGGGACCCCACAGCTCCCACCCCACGCCTACCAGGGTACAGGTCACTTGTGGCCTCCCGTGACCTTCTCCGCCCTTCTGTGTCCAAGCAGCATGGCAGAAACCTGTGCTACATCCACCTCTCACAGACCACGTGGGCCCAGAGACTGTGACCCCTCATGGACCTGTGTCTCCCACCTAGAGTGAGTGCTACATGCAGGTGTGTGAGGGGGGACACAGCGTGTGACACGCAGCAGGTACTCATGCCACATGCGCTTCCTACACAGGCTGAGCCACCAGCTCCTAGGAGGCCGGACCTCAGGAGCAAAAACTCCTTTGCTGGCTTTGTTCGCACCATGTCCCCAGCCCACAGGAAGCCTGGCATGTGGGGACGATCGACATGACTGGGGATGCACAGAACTCCCATGGTTCCCAAGCTCCATCACTGCCCAAGCCTTTCCGAAATACCCAGCTCCCTTCCACTTTGCTGGAAGCACTCAGGCTTTGGACACAGCCTCCAGGCCAGGAGTGGATGTTGAGTGGGGACTCTTTTCTTTTCTGAGATGGAGTGTCGCTCTGTTGCCCAAGCTGGAATACTGGAGTACATTGGCGCCATCTTGGCTCACTGCAACCTCCACCTCCTGGGCTCAAGCGATTCTCCTGCCTCAGCCTCCCGAGTAGCAGGGATTACAGTCACGAGCCACCAAGCCTGGCCAATTTTTTTTTTTTTTTTTGTATCTCTAGTAGAGATGGGGTGTTTCACCATGTTGCTCAGGCTGATCTCAAACTCCTGACCTCAAGTGATCTATCTGCCTCAGCCTCCCAAAGTGCTGGGATTACAGGTGTGAGCCACCACGCCCAGGCTCTTCTGGGAAACCCCGTGCTCCTTCTTGGTTTTGCATGAGGAGTTGTACAGTAAAGGGTTAACCTAGCCCAAAGAGAGGTCTGGCCTTTGTCCCTAGCTCCTGGGAGGTGACCTGCAGGAGAATATCCTGCCTGATAACAATGTCATTGTGTGGCTGGGGCCTGTGGTTTTAGGGTGGGGGTTTGGGCACATCAGCTCAACATCTGGAGGGACTAGAGACTGAGGCTGGCCATGAGGGTCGTCAGCCACATCTACAGGGCCAGCCCCCAGTACAGACCCTGGACACGCAGGCTAGGGGAGCTTCTGCGGCTGGCAGTGCTCCATGCTGGGAGAGTTAGGCACCACTCACACGAGGGGCCGACTGGACGCTCCAGCCTGGTCTCTCCTGGACCCTGTCCATCTGCCATTTCCCTTGGATGATTTTTTTTTTTTTTTTTTGAGATGGAGTCTCGCTCTGTCGCCCAGGCTGGAGTGCAGTGGCGCAATCTCAGCTCACTGCAACTTTCGCCTCTTCTCCAGCCTCAGTCTTCTGAGTAGCTGGGATTAGAGGTATACAACACCACACCCAGTTAATTGTTGTATTTTTAGTACAGACGGGGTTTCACCATGTTGGCCAGGGTGGTCTTGAACCCCTGACCTCAAGAGATCTGCCCGCCTCAGCCTCCCGAAGTGCTGGGATTACAGGCATGAGCCACGGCACCCAGCCTCCCTTGGGTGATTTTAATGTGTCCTTTCACTGTAATAAACCATAAGCATAAACAAAACAGCTTCTAGGGAGTCCTTCCAGTGAATGTTCTAGCCAGAGAGTAGGCACAGGGACTCCTGAGTCTGTGGGAGATAACTGTCCTCCTTAGCCTGGCTGGAACCCCTGGGAGCAGGGTCCTCTTTTCTCTGGAGTCCCAGGGTGGTGGGACGCCAGCCTGGGCTGTGCCCCATGGACCTCCGGCCTCAGCTGGAAGAACTGCCAGATGCCAGTGCACGGCAGGCAACATCATCACCCCTTTGCCCATCGCCACGTCACAGTCCCCTGTGCATCCCTCACCCGAGTGTCACTACCCCGCCCCCCACCATGCTGTGCTCCCAAAACCACTGAGACCTTGCAGACGAGCTCCATGAACCCGGCGGCCAGCCCAGGGCCCACTGCTCAGCAGCGCCGGACGTCGGAGCCTCCAGGTCCACAAAGACGGGAGGGGGTGGATGAGTGAATGAATAAATGAACGCTGCTGCACCCGCCCCCCCTTCCCCAACCCCGCCACAGCTGACTTCACAAGCCAGGTGACAGGCCCATCTGGAAGCTGTACAAGCACTTAAGATTAGAACCCAGGAGGCCTCAGGTGGCAGCTTGGCCACCCCGTTCCTCAGCTGGCCCAGGCAACACAAGCCACCTCAAAGAGTAACCCTCAGAAGGTTAGCCAGAGCTAGCGGCTGGCCCTGGAGGGAGTTCCCAGGATGTCGCAGCAGCCCCAGCCTGCCCTACATGGAGCCTCGGGGCTAACCTAGGACTCAGATGTCCCATCTCCACATCAGCCCCATGGCTGTCAACAAGCGGGGCCACAGGTGAAGCAGCTCAGGCCTGGAGAAGGCGTTCCATGGGAGTCGGGAAGCTGCGGTTCCCAGGGAGCCCTCACTCATGACTTGTGGGCTGGATAGATGGGCATCTGGTCCTGGATCCCCAGCTGGGAGAGCAGACCCCACTGGCGATTCGGAGGGCCCTGCTGAGGGTGGGTGGGCACCCCACTAACCACACTTTACCTCCGGCCTCCCCAGCCTCACTCCCTCCAGCCGCCCCAAGTCCCAAAGTGCCCCCAGCTTGTCCTTCCCCTACTGACCCCCACAGAGAGCCTGTGACAGCCTCTCCTTCACTTAGAGGGGTCTCCCCAACACCTCTGCCCAAGAAGCAGCCCCCTGAGTCGTGATCACACCAGCCTCCAGGTTTTTTTTTTTTTTTGAGACAGAGTCTCACTCTTGTTCCCCAGGCCGGAGTGCTATGGTGTGATCTCAGGTCACCGCAACCTCCGCCCCCCGGGTTCAAGCAATTCTCCTGCCTCAGCCTCCCGAGTAATCTGGGATTACAGGTGCCTACCACCATGCCAGGCTAATTTTTGTATTTTTAGTAGAGATGAGGTCTTACCACGTTGGCCAGGCTAGTCTCAAACTCATGACCTCAGGTGATCCACCCATCTCAGCCTCCCAAAGTGCCGGGATTACAGGCCTGAGCCACCGCACCCCACCTGTTGTTTCAATCGGTTGTGGAAGTTTTAGATTTACAGAAAAACTGCGAAGACGGTACGCCCCTCACTCAGTTTTCCCTAAAGCTTACGGCTTACGGTGCTGGGGTATGTTTATCAAAGGAAGAAAACAGCCTCAGTATCGCCGAGCACGGAACTGCCTGGCTCTGTCTCTCCCCAGCCCTCTGGTTTGTTTCACTGCATAGACCACGTCTCAAATGCCTTTGCTTTTGAATGGGTCCGCCCTTTTGGGTCCTGACGCAGCAGAAAGTGGGCCCCTATGCCAAATGGTTGCTGCTGTGGCCGGTGCCAGGGCTGCGTGTGGCCACCGTGGACCCTCGGGAAGTTACCTGTCTGGCCTCACTTCTCATCTGCCGGCGGCAGCCCTGGCTCCTTCCACATCGCCAGCCTCATGCTGGATCTCAAACCCTCTCGCGCTCAGGTCTGAACCCACCATCCGAACAGTGCCAGGGCCCTAGAGTCAGAGGGGATGAAGGCTGAGGACAGGTGCCCCCATGACCCTGCCGCACATCATGGAGGTGTCTCAGGATGGAGGCCACAGGCTGACCCCGACAAAGGGCTGACAGGGACACAGCAGAGGGTCAAGAAGCTCAGACCCCAGCCGTCCTGTGTCTCTCCTGGTCCTGAGCCTCCCAGGCAGCAGCCAAAACGGGTGCCACTGCGGGTTCCCCAAGCCCCCCAAATGGAGCATGGATTCCCGCCCAAGTCTCAGCGCATCCAAGCATCCATCATGACGGCCTGGCCTCAGTGTCCCAAGGCTGCCAATTACCGTAAGCCAGGAGGTTTCAGACAACAGCTGACCTCCCACAGTT